GGCGCTCAGTGCGCGGCCCGCAGGCGGTATCGGAAGCGCACGTCGTGGCTGGGCTGCATGGTGCCGAAGCCCCAGCGCTGCGGGTCCACGGGCGGCACGGGCGTGTCAGGGTCCACCAGCTCCAGGTCAAAGTGCGTGACCATGAGCAGGACGAAGAGCTTCATCTCGCTCAGGGCCAGGAACCGCCCGGGGCACATGGAGACGCCCGAGCCCCAGGGCATGGTGTAGTGGTGGATCTTCTTGCCCTGTTTGTAGAAGTCCACTTTGCGGCTGCCGTCGGGGTTGAGGAAGCGGTCGTACTTGAAGGCCGTGGGCTCGGGGTGGATGTCAGGGTCCATGTGCACGGAGAGGTATGGGAACAGGGCCACGATGTCTCCGCCGCGGAGCCGGTACTCGCCCCCGTGGGCCATCTTCAGGACGTGGTCCCCGTTGACCACCCTGAGGAGCGTGGGCGCCGCCCCCAGCCGCAGGGTCTCCTCCATCACGCTGTCCAGCACCGGGGTGCGTTGCAGGGCGCTGACGTCCAAGTTGAAGGACTGCCCGGCCTCCAGCCCGGCCTCCCCCAGCACCTGGGCGGCCTCCTCTCTCAAAGCCCGCATGGCTTCTGGGTGCTTCAGGAGGAACAAGAGGGCCCAGAAGGAGGTGGGCCCCGTGTTGCCCTGGGAGGCCCAGAGCATCATGAAGTTGAACTTGTCCTGCATGGCCGGGGCCACCCCCTGCTCCCTCAGAAACTGAAGCATGTAGGCTATCCAGTTGCTTATGCCATCTTTCTCCAGGTTTTGTTTCACCGACAGGGTCTTGTGGAAGAGCCTCTGGAGCCGGCCCACTTCTAGCCACTCCCGGGGCCCCAGCAAGGAGTAAACAAACCTGGGGAAGAGGCGATCGAACTTGCGGAACTGCACAAACAGCTCCTCTGCGTGCAGCAGGTCCTGCTCCGTGTCCTTGGTGTAGCCAAACAAGCTCAGATAGCCAGCCTTGAACAAGGCATTGTAGCAGAAGTCAAAGAGGTCTCCCTCGTGCCAGCTCCTGACATCCTGACTCCGGCCCCTGGGTCCCAGTACAACCAAGGACAGGCAGTCCCGCATGGTTTTGTTGAGATCCTCCAAGCCGTTGCCCATGAGATGCTTGGTGCTGGCCGAGTGTATCATGCGGTGGTCTCCTGGCATTGACCGGTATCCAAATACCTTTAGCACCAGTTTTTCTGCATACTCCACAAAGTCTAGTTTTCTCTTCACGTCCTTGAGGATGGGGCCAAAGGAGAGGGGGTCCATGACAAAGGTGAAGAACTGGCCCCCTAGCTGCACCGTGAACACGTCCCCGTGCTTGGCTCGCATGTGCTTCAGGAATTCGAGCATATTCTTCCGGAAGGCCATGGCATGGCCCAGCCAGGGCACAGAGCCCTTGTCCAGAGGGGGCTCCTGGGGCCTGCGCTGCCGAAGCAGCCCCAGCAGGCACAGGTAACCCACGACGGCCAGCAGCAGGGCTCCCAGCACTGGACCCCACGGCACCATGGCTGTGCTCTTCCAAGTTAAGCTCTAGACACTCTGTTCAGAGAGCTTTTGGGAGGCGTTGACAAGTTGGGAGTGGAAAAGTTTGCCCACGTGGACCTTGCCCTCTGGCTGTAACTTATAATAAATAACCCTGGGGAGACAGTATGTGAGAGTGAAATTAGTACTTGCTAAAGCCGGGTCATGTGGGACCAGGAGAAAGCCTCTAGCTTAGGTCACAGCCCCCTTTACCAGCTACAGGCTTTGCTCTGACCTTTTCAGACTCAGCTCCAGCATCTTCTCTGCAAAGCCTTCCATGACCTCACTCCCACCCCCACGACCTACTGACCATTCACGCCTTTATTTACTGGAGTAAATTAATTATTCATTAATTTGTTACCTCATTGAGCAGAAATGCACCAAGCACCAACCAAGTTTCACATCCACCCCTTTCTCATCTGGCTTCAGCCTCTGAGCCTCTGGCCTTGGCCCCTGGCTCAACTGGTTTGCACACTTGTCTAGCAAGGACAGACTGGAAATCTTGAGGAATTATGAAATGTCAGAGATGATAGGGACTTCAGACTGATGGCTTCATTTCACACTGAGGTTCTAGGCTCAGTTAATGGGGACTTGGACAGCTGCCTTGGTGCGGGTGAGGCAAGTTGATGGTCTACTCGAGGCCTCTGTGAGATGTCGAGTCAGATCCGTGCCAGCAGACCCCAGAAGGAGAAAGCTGTGCCATTGACTCTAAGGCATTTGTCAAGCAGCCCAGCCCATTGTTGCAACAGGTTTTGAAATTCTGACTCAATCCAACCACTTCTAATCACCCCCAAGTGACTCTAATTTCCTAAATGGTCTGCAAACAGGGACTCTGTGTCCTCCGTTAACCATAGGATTTCCACATACCCTCCTGAGTGACTTCCCTTTGCCTTGTGCAGCTCCCCTCCACGGGAGCTGGAAACATCCCCTTTGCCCCCATGAAGTCCTCTCTGACTGCTTAGGGCACAGCAAGTGCTCAATGCTATTAACTCTCCCCAGCCTTATAACTCAGTGGGCAAACTGTGGGCCGACTCCAATGAGCTGTCCCCCAGTTTTTAATGGGTGGCAGTACCACCGTACATTCATTCTCACCTTCATTCACTCACTCACACTCACTCATTCATTCCTTCCCTCTTTCCTTGGAACAGCCCCACCTATCCTTTCAACAGATATTTCCTGGGCATTTGCTGTCAGAAATTTTGCTACAACCTAAATGAGACAGACACAGTCCTTGTCCTCTTAGAACTTATGGCCTAAGAAAGGGAAAAAGATATTAAATCACTGCCCAAAGGAGTATATAATTACAATTGTGTTAAGTGCTGCAAAGGAGAAGAGCAGAGCGGGAAGGGGAGTGGGGAGGCAGGAAGGCTACACTAATAAGGCGGTAATTAAGTGAAGTCCTGGAGGATGCCAAGGCCAAGTCAATGTATGTTGTGTGTGGGAGTGGTGCTACAGGTAGAGGTAGGGGTGTGGGAGGGTGTTGCTCGAAGCATGTGGTAGGGTTGGCCTAGGTATGGGGTGTACACCCACTATGGGGCCACCACCATGGCTGCAGAACTGCGGGGAAGAGCCCCCAGCATGGTGTGGGCTCTGCAGGCTCAGTGCAGATTCATTCTTTGACCTGTCACACTGCACTGAACCCTCTCACACCAGCCGCTCCAGCCACCCGCATGTCTGGACAGGCTGTGGTAGGCAGTTAGACAGACTTGAGCCAGAGGAAGGCTGATGGGTCATTACACAAGGTCACCAGGGTGGAAAGTCCCAGGATGGATAGCTCCAAGTACAGAAGATCACCTGGTGTCTAGCAACCAACAATTGTAGGGTGGGAACAGGGTGACCTTTCCTCCCCTAGCATATCACTAGTTATGTGGTTTGGACCCCCCTGACCTTCCCTCCCTAGAGATAGCATCTAGGCCTCAGTTGTATTTCAGCTCCAGACCCAGAAAAGAAGCAAAACCAGACAATCTACGTCAAGGCTGACCTATGTCAGCTGCATTGAATGACCCCCTGCCCTGGTGCCCACCAATCAGTGGAGACCACAACCCTGAAAGGACACACCTGGACAGCTGCTGAATATTCTATTGAAATTGTCCCTTAGGACCTCCCCTAAAATCTCCACCCTTAAAACTCTTAGGACTTGGACCCAGTGCTCTCCCTTGGGGGAGCACGCCTAGGCTTTCCCCTCTCCCTCCCCTTTTTCCTATAGGTGTCACTTCACCTTCCACACTTCTAAGCTCCAAGGGCCCTTCCTTTGCCTCTATAACTTGCTTCCTAAGCCAGTTTCTTCTATGACTTACTTCCTCTAGCTCGGTGATTTTATAAATAAGTGTTCTCTTATAGTCTGAGTCTTGGCTCTGAATTCTTGCCTAGACGGAACTCAAGTAGGAGGTTGTCCCACCCAGGGCGGGTCTGATCCCAGGGGTCTAACAGCTGGAGCCGGTCCCGCTGCATCCAGCCACCAGCCTGTCTGGATCCAGCCACTGACGGGCTCCCAGACGAGCGGCAGGGATTACTGGCTCTGCCGTGGGGCGGAGGCTGGCCTGCCCCAGGGAAGTCTGCCTTCTCAGTCCTCCCAACCCTTCCGAGTGGCCGGGGGACATCCATCTAGAGAAAGCACTGCAAGCCCGCACAGGCCCCTACCTTCCACCCTCCCCGCAGCGCCTCTGGCAGTGGGGGCGGGGTTACGCTGTTGGCAGGACCCCGGGAAAGGACCATCGACACGCAGAGGCGGCCTCCGGGCGTGCTAGAGCGGCCGCGGGGTGGGGGAGGGGGACGGAAAGGCGGTGTCACACTTCCGGCCCTACAGGTTGCGCAACGGCTTTTCTGCGCCGGCGCTGCCGCCCTGGCGGAGGCGCGCTCAGTCGCCGTTTCCCGGGGCGTTGGCACCCGCGCGCTGTGAGTGTAAGTTGGTCAGCGGGGGGGTGAGGCTGGGCTGGGGAGGGACCCGCGGAGGGGGTGCCTGCTCCCCTCCCGTCACCGCTGTTTCTAACCTGCGCGCCGAGCGAAGCCACCGCTTCGGCCTGGACTCCGGGGAACTCTCGTCTCATAAGCGCCGCGGGAGCACCGTTTGTGGGTCCTTCCGCAGTTTATCCATATATGGCCCAGAATTTTGAGCAACTGGGCACAGACCATAGGGGTTCGTTTATCTGTTGTGGTTTCTATATTGGGGTTCCCTGTGGGTTCCCTAGTCCTGTTGCACCGCCTGTCCCCCAGTCTCGTTTGCCCCGTGTTCCGGTTCTAGGTGATACTGCTCCCCGGCGCCTGCCGCTCCTCGCCCACTGCCTCACCCCCGGAATGCAACAGCAGTCCCGTTGAAATCGAGATGCAGGGGAGAAATTATATCCCTCTGCCTTTAGGTCGGCTAATAGTCTCATTTAAATTAGAGATATGCTTACCCACGGTTCCTTTATCTTCCTAGCTTTCAAGTTTCCTTCTTTCCCCCAAGAACTGAAGGAAACTCCTTTATAGCAGCTCGGTTTTGGACAGTCCGGCCCAGGTTAACTATCTTCTAGTCAGCATCACATATACCGGTGTTAACCTAAAAATAAGCCAAAGTAAGAGGCAGTGTTTATTCTAGATCAAAGAATAGCTATTCGGGAAGCACTGATTAGGGCAGAAACCCAAATAGTGTTCCGATTATGGGGTGAAAGGAAGGAGAATAATTATGTGAATAGAAGAGACTGAGTATACAAGTGGACAATGGCGAGACCAGCTGGGAAAACAGCAACCAGTCCAGGAAGGTAATCCATTATCTGCAGTAACCAGTCCAAGAAGTCCAACTACTCTCTGTGCCAACGAGTCCAGGAAGCCACAATAACCCCTGCAGCCAAACAGCCAGAATTAGATTCATATGTTCCCCCAGCCAATTACGTAGGATGTTTTGCTTCTAGCTAACCTCATGCCAACGGTCTCCAGGCAGAGCACACCTGAAGCCTTCCTTTGTGCTGCTATAAGGCTTTCCCACTTCTCTGCCTCCTTCGAGTCTCTGACCAATGCAAGTGGCTGACCAACTCCCTTGCTATAATAAACTGAATAAATAGCGTTTGCTCATTTAGATGGCCTTGGTTTATTTCCACAACTCTGTTTAAAAGTGTAACTCCCTGACATGCTGTGTGATGCTAGGTAAGCCATTTCCTCTCTTTGGGCCTTATTTTCTTCAACTGAAAAAGCGGTTCAACATTTATTTTATTCAACAAATATTCCTTGGCACTTAAGTAATTTGGGTCCTAAGAGGTGCTTTACACGGGAAGACGTTAGAGGCACAAAGATGAGCATGTCCAGAAAGTAATCTGTTCTCTAGGAACGTAAGACGTAGTAAAGGAAGGCAGACATATGGACAGGCATAGTTGAGTGGAGGATGTACAGTACTGCCTTTTATCAGCATCCACCCTACAGGAGTGCAGAGAAATGGAGGGTGGTCCGTGGGAAAAGGGCCGGGAAAGGATTCCCAGAGGAAGCCTCCTCTCCGGCTGCCGCTTTCCCACCTACCCCCTCCATCCCTGCATTGCTGCCCCCGGCAGTGGGCAGTGGTTTCAGGGAGAGCTGGACCCCTCTCCCCTCCCTCCCTAGGAGGGAAAAAAGGACCACAGAGAGGAGGCGCCCTCCATCGTCCTAGAGAAGCCGGAGTGGCACCAGCGCTGCAGCCCCCACGTCTCCCTGGCGGAGCCCTGGCCCGAGCCGAGCGTGGGGCTGCTATGTGGGGTCCGCCCCGGCCCGGAGCGTCCCTTCCCGACACCGGGGAGCCCCCGGGCGGGCCCGGCGTTCAGTCACTGCCCCGATGGGCGGCCCAGGCCACGGGGAGCCGGCCCGGACGCGCTCGGTGAGTGCGGGGCCGGCACCCCGAAGCTGGCTCAGTTCCGCCTCGGACTCCAGGCCCAGATAAAGGGCGGAAAGGAGGCAGTGCGGCGACCCCGAAATTGGGGTACATCCCAGAGCGGAGGGCCCCGAGGAACAGGCTGGGGGTAGAGTGGGTTTGACAGCTGGCCAGCTGCGCCCGCCGGAGCCAAGCGCTGGGGCGGCGGCGTTCACAGAGCGCTATGCGCGGCAACGAGTGTCCAGAATTTCCACGACACTGGTTTGACAGAGCTGGTTATGTTTGAGCTGGGTCTTGAACATGAGTTTGCAGGCTCAGGAGGGAGGACCTGGATCTTCAGGCAGGGGGAGCTGCAGGTGCAAGGGCACAGATCTGAGCAAAGAAAGGGTTTGGATTCATAACAGGATGGTGACAGGACAGAGGGTAAGGGTGGTGGCTCAAGAGATGATCCTTGGAAGATAAATTGGGCCCGAGTAGTGAATGAATTGTGTTGCAGAGAATTTGGACTTTCTTAGGCAGGCGAAGGTGAGCCAGCTTCTGAGCCGGGGATTGCAGGATAAGTCGCTGTGGGGACTTTATAGGGCAAGAACTGACACGAAGTGGACCAGAACCTGTGCCCCCATAGTAGAGTTTGCGACTCTGATTGAGGCAGTGGTTGGGAATGATGAGAAGTCTTGATGGCTCTAAGTTAGTGCTGTTTGTGTTTCTTAAGAGGGTGAGAAAGGAAAGGTGTAGGAGCTCTGCCTCCTGAAGATATAGGAAAAGGGGGTGTTCAGACTGGAATGTGGGGGAGGAAAAGCAGGGTGCAGTGGCTTAGAGAGTGTTGGGGTGGGGGCGTGCAGAGAGTAAAGCTGAAGCCTGTCCTGTGGAGTAGTTTGCAGAGCAGACCGAGTGCTCTGAGGAGAGTGAGCTGCCTCTTTGGCTGGTGGCAGTGACTTGGACGGAGAGAAGAGAAAGGGCCTGACATAGGAACAGAAGAGGTGGCGGGAGTGAGGACAGAAGGCAGTGTGGCATAGCAGGTAAGTGCGAGAGAGTCAAGTAGGCTGGAGTTCTGTCTCAGTTCTGTATCTTTGGGGGAAGCTAATCTCTGAGCCTCGGTTTCCTCTTCCGTAAAATGGATCTAATGCCCTCCTAGGTCGTGAGACACACACAAAGTAATATATGTGAAGGGCTTCGCGCAGGCTCAATGAATGGCAGTTGCTCTTGTTATCCAGGGTTGGTGACCTCTGAAGGAGGACTCACTGTGGAGAAAGGATAACACCCAGAGCACAGATAGTTGTTTCCGGCATAGAGATGAGAAGGGGGCACCCGCACAGACTCATGAAAAAGATGAGAGGAGGTTTGCTGAAGTAAAGACCAAGAGACATGGGAATATTGATGGCTGATGGCTTTTATCTTTGTAAATAGGGGGCAAAATCGGCTGACAGTTCCTTTAGACATTCAGAATCCAGAAACTCAACCAGCATCCCCTCCAGTACCTCTTTGTGCCCAGTGTACCCCGGGATTGTCCTAGGGCATTTAAACACGGGTTGTTTCAGGACTCAGTGATCTTCGAAGACGTGGCTGTCTACTTCTCTGAGAACAAATGGACCTTCCTGGGCCCCACCCAGAGGGCCCTGTACAGGGACGTGATGCTGGAGAATTATGGGGCTGTGGCTGCCCTGGGTAAGGGTCTTCCCCTGAGACTCTGCCTCTGCTATTCATGAGTTTCCTAGTTCCTTGTTCCTCAGAAGCTCAGAAGTCTTTGAGAGCCCTTCGCTGAGCAGCAACTTCAGGCTCTTAGATTCTTAATGACCCAACCTCAGTGGTTCCTGGGAAGTAGGAAGTCCTGGTATCAATGTGGGCCTCACATAGGACCTCCTTGCCTGAGGGTGAGAGCTGTCCACCTCCTAACCCGTGCTGTGGGTACAATGGGAAGAGAGCAGATTCCTGGTGCCCCTCCGAGCCCTCAGCTCCCCATCCCCTCAGTTTGGGGGACCCAGCCCAATACCAACATGGTCATGCAGATGTCTGAACTTGAGAGCTCTAAGAGGAGAGAACCAGAAATTTCAATTCCTCGGTGAGCGAAATCGCCCACTCAGTTTGTGCTCACTCAAACTGGTATTGAGCATCTCCTACTCTACTTCCTGACCTCTGGAAGCCTCTGGCCCCTCTCCCCTGGGTCTCTTGCCCCTTTCCCTGGACGTCTTTTTCTTGTTCTACCTAGTAATTTCCCTTCTTTCCCCTCCTTCCCCTGGAGACACAGCCTGGGAAGAGCCCTGGGATTACTCTGGGTCATGCCACTCACCTTCCTGTCCCATTTCCTTCCCCCCAAGCAGCATTTCCATTTCCCAAACCGGCTCTGATTTCCCAGCTGGAGCGAGGGGAAGCACCCTGGTGCTCGGCTCCTCAGGGAACTCTGGATGGAGAGGGCCCAAGGGGCATGTCCTCAGGTGAGTGAGGACATGTGTCAGTCATCTGACCAGTTCCCTTGTCTTGATCTTTACATTGTAATAGGTATGTGTTCTCTTAACCTAGTGCTGTTGATGCCAGTGGGATTCTTTTTTGTCCTCTGTGTTCCTATGGTTTCCCATCTTGTTTCATTCATCTTGGCTCCTCTGAGGGTCATCTTCATTCACCGGTTTTTCTCCTTCCCCATTTCTGTGGTCCTTACCAGGCTGCCATTTATCTTTACTGCCCTGAATCCTCGCTTGTTTTTCTCATGTTATAAACTGGACCACCTGGAAAGAATTCTGACTTGTCCCCCTTAGAGTCAATTGAACTATTTCCTGAGAGTACCCCTACCTGCATGCTTGCTCTGGTGCTGGGATTCACAGCCCTCAGGAACTCTCTGTCCAGTTGATGTCTTTTGCTTTTGGTGGCTTTCTATGTGTTAGCTCCATTTTGCCATTTCAGCTAGGACCTCTGAGGCACAGGGGTGGCACTTGGAGAGAAATGGATATATTAATACCACTTGGTGACTTTAGTCACTCTGTCATGGGTAATGATGACATTTGAAGCTCTGATTTCTTCTTTCAGAGGCTGTGTTGAAGAGTGATAAGAAAGAAGATTTTATTCTGAAGGAAATTTTTGAGGAGCCACAGGACCACATGGTGTCATCAAGAGGACCCCAGTGGTATGGCTCCCAGGGATTCTGGTTCAGAAAAATCTGTGAAGAGGAAAAAAGCAGGTTAGGAAGATGGTGTGACTACCCCAATGGGAGAAGTATGGAAAAAATTACAAATGATATTATAGAAGTGATTGTCAAAGATGAAATGATCTCAGTAGAAGAGAGTTCAGAAAATTCTGATGTTAACACCCACCTTGTTATACATCAGAAAATTCTAAGTGAGCAGGTATTCTATATCTGTGAAGAACGTGGCAAGTGTTTTGATCAAAATGAAGACTTGGATCAACATCAGAGAATTCATAATGGAGAGAAGGTCTATGGATGTAAGGAATGTGGGAAAACTTTCAGTTTTAGATCACACTGCATTGCACATCAGAGAATTCACACTGGGGTGAAACCCTGTGTATGTCAGGAATGTGCTAAAGCTTTCATTTGGAAATCAAATCTGATTCGGCACCAGAGAATACACACAAGAGAGAAGCCCTTTGAATGTAAGGGATGTGGGAAGGGTTTTAGTCAGAACACAAGCCTTATACAGCATCAGCGAATCCACACGGGAAAAACCATATACATGTAAGGAATGTGGGAAAAGCTTTACTCGGAACCCAGCCCCTCTTCGACATCAGCAAATCCACACTGGGGAGAAGCCTTATGAGGGTAAGGACTGTGGGAAAGGCTTCATGTGGAACTCAGATCTTACTCAGCATCAGAGGGTTCATACTGGGGAGAAGCCTCATGAATGTACTGACTGTGGGAAAAGCTTCATTTGCAAGGCACACCTTATCCGACATCAGAGAATCCATACTGGGGAAAGACCCTATAAATGTAATGACTGTGGGAAGGCCTTCAGTCAGAATTCTGTTTTGATTAAGCACTAGAGGTGCCATGTTAGAGAAAAACCCTATAACTGTCAGACCTCCCACCTTCTTGAACATTAGAGAATACATAGTGGTAATACTTGTTTATAATATTCATGATACAGGAACCCCAGAGGACAAAATGAGATGACTGGCCACATTTGCTATAACCCTAATATACAGTATTATCTTTCTCCTCCTAAATGGATACCCTGTACTCTAATGAGACTGGTCCCCCATTCAACCATGTTCATATTAGGCAGCATTTAGTTGAGCATCTACCCTGTGCTAACCACTTTACATACATTCTCTAATTTTTCTTAATCTGATTAAGGTAGATACTCTTATCCCCAGTTCACAAATGAGAAATCTGAGGTTGAAAGGTTATAAAACTCATTCCAGGTTGCTCAGCTAGTAAGTTATAGAGTTGAGATTGGAATCAGGCCTATCTTACTCCAGAGTCTACTGTTTATTTGTGCACATTTCTGCTTCTACTCATTTTTATTTGCCCAGGTGTCCCTGGGTTAAAGTTTCCCTTCCTCATCTAAGAACCAGCTCCTTCAACAGAATAGACCTCTCTTCTCCTTCTACTTATAATCAGTACCGCCCAGTTTGGTATTTAATTGTGTGCTGTCTTACATTTTTCTAATGGTCTCATGTCTGTTAGTCCAGCTAAGTGGCTCTTTGAGGATCAACACTGTATTTCTTTTAGTTTTCAAATTCTGAAATTTATTTCTGACTAGATATAACATGTTCATGATAAAAAAACAAACCTGAAATAGTTCAAAAAGATGTTCAGTGAAATGGAAATGTCCTTGTCACTCCTATCTCACAGTCCTCTTCCTCAGAGACAGTTGTTATTGGTTATGTGTCTTTCTGGATATATTCTTTATATACTACACACACACACAAGTACTAATATTGTTTTCCTAAGTCTACCTCACTTAGAACCATATTTGAAGTAAATGACATTGCAGTTACATTGCCAGCTCCAGGACCTTCTCTTCCTCAGAAGCTGTGGTCCTCCCCAACCGGGAATCGAACCCACAGTCTGAGTATGTGCCCTGACCCAAAATCAAACCTATGACCATTGGGTGTACTGGAGGATGCTCCAACCAACTTGAGCCACACTGGCTGGGGCTAGAAACAATTTTTTATATTAAAAGGGGTGGGCGTCTGGAGCTTCCTGGTGCTAGCCTATGGAGCCTGAGGATGAAGCCAATACCAAACAGTCCCTAGTGATATCATTTGAGTCACTAGCCCAAGCCTTACCTGAAGAGATCTACCTCTGGACTTTTTAGCTATGTGAGCCAATAAACACCTTTGGGATTTCTGTCATTTGCAACTTAGTCATACTGATACAAGCTTGTATTTGAAAGCTCTGTTTTCTCACACAGTACCCTAATGTCACATTGTTCTCTTGCTTCCTAGTCACACAAGCTCCTTATTACCAGTTTAATTTTTCAAGCTCCTCTGGAGCCAATGCTAAAATAGAAATGCTTGAATGGAGACCTCGGAGGATGGGGAATTCCCCGTTTGTTCAAAGACTAGAACTACAAGGCCAGGAGGCCAAATTAAGGATCTTAACAAGATCCCGGGTAGTGCTGAATAGCTGATAGATGCCCCTTTCCTGAGATCGACAATAGGTGATATAATGGGCTTGACTGGCTGCTCCTCCAGTATCCATTCTCCCCTTTTTTCTTTTTAATAGGTACTCACATTTCACAGCCATATAGTGTAGGTTTAACTGTACAACCAGCTACCAGTGAGGACCCTGAATGTCTTAAATCAATTGGAATAATCCCACTTCCTTTGCTACATATATTCATTCAGTGGTAGGCATGTGACTGAGGTTGATTCAAACTGAGTGGAACTCAGGACTTTTAAAAATAGTTTAAAATGGAGATTTCTTTACTCTTGAATTTAAATGGAAACATATATCCATTGCCACCACTAGCCTATATAGTGCCCTTGTAAAAATTAGAAAGAAGGCATTCGAGCAGAGTCAAGAGAACTGCAGAGAAATGAAGCTGTAACACTAATGGCACTAATGACAATATTAAAATTGTATTACTTCCTGTTCTAAAATGAACATTATGCAAACCACTATGGTATAGCTTCTTTTGATTTTGCCTCAGCATACCTACCCAATCAACCATGGATCTTGTGATGACTCAGTTTCTTGCTTTTTTTTTTAATCCTCACTAAAGGATATTTTTTCCATTGCTTTTCAGAGAGAGTGTAAGGGAGAGAGACCACAGAGGAACGATGATGTGAGAGAGAGACATAGATTGGTTGCCTCCCAACCCCCCCCTCCAGGGCTGGGGATCAAACCTGCAACCGAGGTTCGTGTCCTTGGCTGGATTCGAACCCGGGGCCCTTCAGTCTGCTGGCCGAGGCTCTAACTGCTGAGCCAAACCAGCCAGGGCTCAGTTTCTTCTGAGTAGGAAATGAGACGCTAACCCCTGCTCCCCCATATTGAAAGGTCTTCTGCCAGTGAGAAGAGCTCCTATAAAGGTCCCAGGTTATGCAGACCACCGAGAACTTGAGATAAAACTACCTTGAAAAGATGTGACTTGAGTTCCGCAAAAGGGCCTTGTGGATCCTGGGGAAGTGCTGGCCTCAGTAGGATACGGCTGGGACCCAGCCTCCTTGGCAGTGTGGTGGTTTTGTGAGAAAACAGTTGAGCTTGAGTGTGAGACAAAAAGGGCTGTGACCTTGAGCTCCATGTGGGGCATCACTGCGGCCTGCATAGGAAATAAATGAGGACATCCAGCGTGGCCGACAAGTGAGGTTCGCTGAACCGGTCAGGACCGTCTGAGGAAGGTATGCAGTGCTGTGTGGGGGGCCTCTAGCTGGGGCCTGCGCTCACTTCTTCCAGCGCCCGACCCTCCCTCCCTCGTGGTGTTTCTCTCTACCAAGGACCAAAAAGCACTGCCTGTTGCCACGCCGAGGGGCTTCTGGGTCTAGAGCAAGATGGCCTTGCCATTCCTCCACTTCCATGCATTCAGCAAACATTTCGGAGGCTCCTCTGTTTTCGGGTCTCCACCCCGTCCAGGCCAGGCCCTCAGTCCTGCTCAGATCTCCTCCAGGCTCCAGGCTGCTCTTCCAGGCCCTGAGGGGAAGGGCCCACCAGCCGGTGGGAAACACGTTCGGCAGGGCCGGGCTCGCCGGTCCGGGTACTGGCTCCCGCCTCCAAGGGGAAGGACGACCTCTGCCGGCTCCGCCGCAAGGGACCCAAAGCTCAGCCTCTTGCTACAGCCCTAGACTCCGCCTCCTTTCGGAGGAGGTCAAGTGCAGCCGCCGGGTGGGGGGGGGGTTGGCGCAGGACCCTGGACTCAGAGCCCCGACGCCGCGAGGAAGACCGGCTTTATCGCGTCCGCGCTCGCGTACCCTTAGGCTGGTCTCGCGGGAACTAGAAGGAGGCACCACCGAGATGTGGAGTCCTCCAAAGTTACTAGAGGGAATGTCAGGGATGGGTTGGGCTGGCGGGTCAACGTTAGGAAGTACTTCCGGCGCGGCCATTGTCAGCGCCGGGGGTCGGGCGCCTGCGGGTCGCGAGCCAAAGCCCGGTTCGTTGGAAGCTGCGTAGGCCGCGCAGAGCCCACGGTGAGCCGGTCTGGCTCGTCTGAGAAGGACGGGGAGGCGCTCCAGGGAGACGGGAGCGGCGGCGGCTGCTCCCGGGGTCCTCATCCCACCCCCGGGCTCGACTCGATCGTGTCGAGAGGGGGCGCTGGCAGGCCCGGGCGCTGGCTTGGGCTCTGATCCCCAGGTGTTTCGTCCCCAGCGCAGCCAGCGCCCTGTTCACTTTGGGTACTGACACAAATTCGAGTGGCGTTGACACCGACGTCCTTAAAAAGTTTTAACTGCGGTCCAGGACACGCTGTCAACAGAAAACAGCCCGCTCTTGTCCTGGCTGCGCAAACCCCGGCCCTACCCCTCAGCCTGTGTACACCTTCAGGTCCTTTCTCCCTCTTAAGGCGGCCCCAGGGTATTGGTCTGATCACTTTATGTACTCACCTGGCCTGGTGTAACCCCTTATTAGTGTCCCTAGAGCAGGCAAGTACTGAAATGGTTATGTTTTCCCTCCAGGATGGAGGCTACTTAGGTCACAAATAGGAGAATGTGGAGCCCTGGGTTCGGATTGGCCCATTTGAATGTGTAAAAAAAATCTCATGATGAGTCATATCCATCAGCACCTAATGTATGCCCAATGTTTGCAATATCATTTCCTATGTATGACACTGGAGATAGGGAAAGATTTCTTCACCAAGTTCTCTTCACATCCGTTATTTCTCTCATCACATTTCCTTAACTTGCACTCATTGTCGTAACCTAATTGTTAAGGTTCGTGATCAGACTAAACATTTGGTCCTGTTAATGGAATGTGTTGGGTTGTAATTTGTTCCCCACTGGGCTTTGGTTTATGCTTCAGTTGCATAGCTGTGTTTTCCCCTTAGGGAGACTTGGAAGGGAGTGTTTTGTAGGGTGGGGAATGACTGGCTTTTCACAAGTCAACTGTATGGATCGGACCTTTTTGCTTAAATTCTTTTGTTTAATATGCCAGTATTATTAAGTATCCACTGTAAGGGACACTTATTAAAAAGATATGATGACAGTATCATGATTTAAGAGAATTGGAGTATACTACAAGGCGCACCCATTTTTACTCGGTATGGGGTATACATTTGATTCGTTTCAGGAGATGCTGCCCAATAGTTTTCTGAAATGGTTTTTCCAGTTTATATTTTCAGCAGCAGTGTTATATGAGAGTTCCAGTTGCTCCACCTCCTTGCCAACACTGTTGTCATTCATTATCGATATCTCATTTTTAAATTTCCTTTTCTGCACAAGCAGTGACATGGAGTGCCATTTCATATGTTTATTGGCTACATGGATCTCCTCTCAGGTGGAGTCCCTCTTGAGTTATTTTATTACACTGTATGCCATTTTTCCTTCTAGTTGGAGTCTTTTATTATGAACACAAGCCCCTTGTCAGGTATATGTATTAGGAAATATCTCCCCCGGCCTTTGGCTTGCTTTTCCACTCCCTTAGTGGTGCCCTTGATAAGCAGATTTTTCTCTAGCCTGTCCCAAGTAAGCAGTATCTTCCTACTGGGTCTCTCTAACCTCACTACCTCTGCATGGGGGTGGGGAGCCATTGACAAATCTGAGCGCTTTGTGCCTGGGGTAGTGGACAAGGAGAAAAGGCTGAGGGAAGAGCTGGGATGAAAGCAGAACTGGGAAATGACAGTAAAGTGAGCAGCCCAAATAATCACCCAACTCTGTTACAGATTGGAGAGGGGCTTAGAGCTAAGGTGTCAGCCATATCCAGTTACATGTTAGCTCTCCTTTTATAGATGTGATTTCACGGTCAGGCCCATGCCCAGCTCCTCTATAGTACATGGTCTGTTTGGAGCTCACGTATGCTCGGAAGCTCAGTGGAGACGTATTTGGTTCTAACTGGAAAAGTATGCTGGACTCCGGCTGGTTGGCTGCCTTTAATTTGTGTCTTCTTCCTCCACACCTTCTAGATTCTACACAGAAACTCGTCAGGCACATGAGGGACCCATACTAAATACATGTCATTGTAGGGGCCCTCCCCAGGCTTCTCACTGACCATGTTGACCATCACCAAGGTCCTGAGGCCTGGAAGAGCAGGAGCTTGTTTCAGGAACCAGTGACCTTTGAGGCCGTGGCCGTGTCCTTCACTGAGGAGGAATGGGCCAGCCTGGTACCTGCTCAGAGGGCCTTGTACAGGGAGGTGATGCTGGAGAACTATGCGGCTATGGCCTTCCTGAGTAGGCCTGTGCCACGGTCTCTGCCTGGGCCCCCAGAAGTTTAAGGGCACTCTTACACTTATTAGCTGACCCCAAATGTTAGTGTCAAGAGCTGCCAGGTACAGAGAGCCCTGGAGTCTGCTCTACAAGAAGGCATTCCTTCCTTTTCCATCATAAGAGTTACCCTCCCTCCTTATCTGCCTTAGAGAGGTACCCTCACCCTAGCATTGAACCTCCAGATTATCTTCAGAGAACTCAGTCCCTTAGTCTCCCCGTGAGAGTTGCTCCTGGGAGCCATGTGTCTGTTTTCCCCCAGGGGGAATTTCCATTCTCTACCAAAAGTAAGAAATCTTGTTTCCCTTTAAATAGAAATTTGCCTCCCAGGGTGTTTGAGGCTTCCTTGGGAATGCTATCCTGAGGCTTCATCCCAGGACCCCTCCCTGTACCTTTTAGGGTGCCTCTAGCTCAGTTTGCCCAGGAACTACTCTCCTCACCTCCCGCTCTTGTAGCCACAGGCTGAGCTTGGCCTCTGTGGCTCTGATCTTTGTATTGTCTCTTCTTCCCTTCGAGCAGCATCGCCCACTTTCAAACCAGCTCTAATCTCTCAGCTGGAGCAAGGGAAAGAGCTGTGTTTCGTCGAGCCACAGGGAGGCCTGAGTAGGAGAGCAGACCCTGCAGGTGAGTGAAGCAAAGGGGTGCCTTTCCAGCTGTGCGTCTTCCTTTGCTTTTATTTCATCAAAATGAAAGATGTGTGTTCTTTGTACTCAGAGTCATGGGCTACGTTGGTTCCTTGATCACACTGACTGGTCTGGGATTCATTGCTTCCCATCCCTTTACACTGTAGTAAGCGCCCTGCTCCAGTGTTTCACACACTGGGATGCTTTTATCCCTGGGGATGTGTGGAAACATTTTTCTAAATACTTTTCTGGTTATGTGTGATCACCTTTTTCCAGTTTTCCAAAATTGATAAACTCAGTGTAGTATTATTATCTTGTCCACTAACCAACAGAACAAATAGAAAAACTTATTTTGCTTTTCATGATAATATATTAAAATTTTATTTTTTATACTGAAATACTTGAAGGTAACTTACAGATACTGTGATTTCTTCCCTTTAGGATACAGCTCAAAAAAAAGAAGATGTACCTACTTAGCTAAAATGATGTCATATGCAATAAAATGAAAAGTTCTTCAAAATCATCTCTTCTGGGAAGAGGGCAGCCATACATAGTGGAAAGCAAGGAATCTAGCAAGAAATATAATTTCATGAATCCCACCCACATTGAAAGGTCAACTGGCATAAATAGAAGTATGGTGGGACTTTGGTCTATAAAATGTCTGTGGCAAGAGATTTGAATTAGAGCCTGTTGTGAAGTTAGGGGGCTCTAAGGGCACAGTGGACACAGATCTTGCTGAGGAACAGATTGTGGAATCAACTGTATTTATTGCCCTGATTGTGTCTTGGTTCTGTCTCCACCCTTGTGAAGCCGCGACATTATAAGGTAGCTGGGAAAAACCCAAGACTGAAACGAGGCATAGAACAGCTTCCATGTGGAATGTTGGCCACACGGTGGTGCCATTTACTCCTTCAAATCCTCATTGTCTAAAACGTTTCTCTCCTGTACCCTTGATTCTGGGACCAGCCTGGATGTGTCAGGTCCTGCTTGCCAGCCTTAAAGCTCAGCGCATTTCCTTCTTTGTGTTCCTTCTGAGGAGAGCACTGTCTGTGACTGCGAGAGCCATTCGGGATACGCATCACCTGAGTTCTTAGAATTTACCTTCAGATCTTAAATGATGTAGGCAGCTACACAGTGTCTCCTGACCTTGGGCAGCGATTGACTTTGAGAAGCATGCTGAGCTGATGGGGCCCTTCATTCATCCTAGAGACTGCTGCTTGGGTACAGGAACAGGGTAAGGGGATCATCATAGCTTTATAGAGGGCTCTGTGAGCAAGGCCTTGGCAAGGGTGGAAGGAAAGAGGTATCATTTGATGAGTGCCTAAGAGGTGTTAAGCTCCTCACATTCATTGTCTATTTAAAACTTTCTAACATTATTCCCATTATATAGATGAGGAAACTGAGGCTGGATGGGTACATTATCTGTCCCAGGTTATACAGCCCAAAGTGGTGAGATTCAGTTTTAAACCCAGGTTTGACTATTTCCACAGCTCCCAAGTTCTCTTTCTTCATGTGATCTGTAAGATGGAGCCCCACCCTTGCAGCATTTATAACTAACTTAGGGAGACAAGATTCCTAAAAGTATGTTTAATAAAAAAAGATGAGCCTGGCTGGCATGACTCAGTGGTTGAGCATCTACCCACAAACCAGGAGAACACGGTTCAATCGGGGCACATGCTGAGGTTTCGAGCTCAATCCCCAGTAGGGGGAATGCACCAGGCAGCTGATCAATGACTCTCATCATTGATGTTTCTCTCTCTCTCTCTTCCCCCCTCTCTCTGAAATCAATTAAACATTTTTTTTTTTTAAAAGGAGAGCAACTTAAAATTGATGAAAGAGAGCTAGTTTTATTGACATGGAAATGGTCACAATATATTGCTATAAGGGAGAAAAAGCAAGCTTGACAATAGCAAGTTAGTCTTCGGTGGAGGCAAACTGAGCAGCATTGTGCCCACTGCCCAGATCAGGACAGCACAGGAGGCTTCCCCCTGCTCCTGCCAGTCAGCCTCCTTCCGAGGGTTAACCATCCTACTATGCACTAGAGGTTAGGATAACCTGTTCTGCGGACAAAGGAAGTCATTTAGTATGTATACTTTTACGTTTAGGTGCTTTCACCACACTTTGGCTGCAGGATTTATCCATGTTGTTGCATGTAGCAGAGGCCTTTTCACATTGCTGAGTGATGTTCCATTGACCGGATATACTACTGGTTGATGGCATTTGGGTGATTTCAGATTTGGGGCTACTGTGAATAAAGTTACTATGAACAACCTTTTACCTCTCTTTTGGCTGATGCATTCACTCACTCTCTCGAATGTTTGGGTTGTTTGGGCCACTGCTAATAACGCTGCTCTGAGCATTCTCGTACCTGGCTTTTGGTGCACATCTGTAGACAGTTCTGTTGGGGACAGGTCTGGCTGGCTGAGTCACAGGGCACGTGGATGTTTAACTTTGGTAACTAGCCAGAGTGTTTTCCAACAGGTGGCGCGTCTTGCTTGTTATTCACATTCAGCACAAAACAGGGTGTGTGGCAAAGGTTCCCTGGATGCGTGCACGGAGCGCGAGGAACAGGACGGGGTGTGGGAAAGGGCACGACAGAGGTGGTCAGTGCTATAGGCGTGTTGAGCCAGAGTCTCAGGCTCGGCTCCACGGAGGGGGATGCTATCAGGGGCCGGTCAGTATCAGTCATTTACTCCAGGGCCCTGACGGGGTTATGAGATGCGGGTGGAGAGGGCTTGTCTTTCTAGGGATTTGCGGGGAGGACAGTTTTGGCGACTCTCAGCAGGTCCCTCCAGATTCCCGCGGGCTCCCGGGGCACCTGCCCCCCTCGGAGGCGGGATCTGGGCGACGCGCCCGGCCCTGCGCCCGCCCCGGCTTATCCGCGCTCGGC